TAAATGGTTTATTTTTTTTTTTTTTTTTTTTAGTTTTAAATATCAAAATTGAGACACTTGGCCTTCTTTCAGAATTCCTGACTTTGTGGGTCAAGATTTATGCTATAGTATGGTCCTGGGCAATTGTGCAATGTTCTGTGTAATGCAGGATCCACCAGTAAGTGTGCTGGAAGGGGTTGTGCAGAGCCGTGTACTGTATTGAATGTGAAAGTCTCTGAAATCCAGGTTACTCTTCATTTTCTGTTGTAGAGGCACAACATGCTTTGTTGATGGTTCCATACCAAACCTTACTTTGCATTGTGTCCAGCACTAGGTTAGGCTCTTGGATTTACAACTATTAATCCGTAAGTATAATATATGAAGTTCTAGGCCCTCCACACCACACATTTAGAAAGTACGGCTGATCTGTAGGACCATAACGAATGTTCTGTTACTTCTGTCTAGGTTACCAAAATGTGAATATTACTGAGTAGCATTATAGCGATATTTATACAAAACCTGTAATAGGAGAAGTGAAAGGTTGCCATTGTTGACCTCTACCACTATGAATGCTTTTTATCTGGCTGACATGTGAATCCAAGAGCTTCAGTCTTTTGAAGACACCCTGACCTGGATTAAATATGCATATCAGAAGGTCTGACTCTACTGTTGTTTTAATCTGCATACTTATTCCAAAGTCAGTGGCTGAGAAGATGTTAAAACTACAGACAACCATGAAACAAGTTTTCATAGAAGAAGGTCCCTAATGGCAGTCACCATTTTTTTTTTTTCTAAGTAGGTTTTCTTTGAAAGGTCAAGTTCAACTCGATTGTTGATTTGCAACCTGTTTGGTTATCGCCCACTGCCAATGGCAGTCAAGCAGTGTCATTTGGTTTGTGTGGTATTCTACATATGTTCCTGAGGACTGTTCAGAGAAGGAGAGGTAACACAAAATGGCCACAGTAGCCCCGGGGGGATCCAAATTTCTTTAAATACTTGACCTTTAAAAAATACTACATCTAAACACTGGGTAACTTTCATTTGCAATAACTAGGGCTCAATACATGTAGATGGCAGGCTTGGTTAGTGGCCACTGTATACTGTAATTTAACACTTTGCGTTTGTCCCGATCACAGGTCTCATAACAGAGCCTAGAGAATCCTAGGGCTACTGCTTAGCTTATTGATCATCATAGGTCAGTGTGTGGGCACATTGTTCACACTAAACAGCATTGTCATAACTGGGCCTGGCCAACATTTTAGTTGAGTCTTATAATTGTACATGAAAGTACAATAGAATGATTTTAGAATCTTAAGATGGCTAAGATATAAGAAATCCATAAAAAATATATGTAAACAAAACGATTTCTGTGAGGAGAGTTATCTTGCAGCACACAATAGAGTTCTTGCTGGCCATGCTTGGCTTTGTAGTTACAAGCAGTGCACCCGATTCTTGGGAGTATGATATTAAGGGTTTTCCTAGAAGGAAATGAGAATTGCTTGTTCATTTATAATAAGATTTTGCAAAATGTTGGAAAATGTCAGACGAGGGGGCGCCAATTATTTTCTGATACACGGATAGTGGGGAAAGAACTACTCCCTGCTCATGTACTATATCGATCTCTTGGCCAAGTTGGGGAGCACCTTGCAGCATGCTCCAAATGGGCAGATTTTTCATGTTTCTTTGAGACCTCTAACCATCTATGGTAGGCATTTCTCTCCCATAATTCCATTAAAGAGCAATTAAAGTGTATGTTTTGGGGAAAAAAATTGCTGCAAGTGCAGAAAGGGGAGCGGAGTTGTAGCCCAGCAAAGGAAAACATTCGGGACTGATGAAACTGCTTTAGATTTCAGTGCAGCAGAGACACAGTGTTTAAGAGAGTATTTCTGGCTATATCAATGGGTATTTTTCAGTACTTGCAGCATCCTAAAGAGAAATGTGGGAGAATGTGCATGTATTGCAGAGATGCACTGAATATGTTTTTTTTATTTTTTTATTTTGCCCAGGCATGCACTTTAAAGTGACTCTAAACTCAGGCATTAGATCTTAAAAATACATTCCAGTACCTACCTATTAACAAAAAATGTATCTTATTTGTGTATCACTCGGCTGTAGATCCTCAAATCATCTTTGACTCTGAATTGGTGCTGACACTGTCCTTCCTTCTGGAGGGGGGCTGCTTTTGTTCCCCATGGTCCCTGTGTGTGTTGTAAAGTAGCTACGACTCCAAGCTCGCTCCTGTGATGGACTACTTCTTAATCTTAATACAAATTAATAAACTAAACGTGAGATTGTAGTCCATCATGGCAGTGAGCTTGGAGCGGTGACTACTTTACAACACACAGGGACCATGGGGAATAAAAGTAGCCCCCCTCCAGAAGGAAGGACAGTGTCAGCACCAATTCAGAGATGATTTGAAGATCTACAGCCGAGTGATACACAAATAAGATAAATTTTTGTTATTAGTTAAGGTTCTTGAATGCATTTTTAAGACTTGACTCCTGAGCTTACTGTCACTTTAACTTTTCTCAAACCTCTCCCCACTTTGTAATAATACAAGACTGTTGGCTCCACTCCGCTACGCAGTGCTAAATAACTCAAGAACTTAGAAAGGTTGGGGACATTTATTGGCTTCATAGTAAGTCAGGTTCTGTTTTTGGTTTATTGGCCCTTAACATGACTTTTGATAGTAAAGGTTTTTCTGTTTGTATCATACATCTAAAACCCATATGTACGAGACACTGAACAAGAATACATGTTTATTTATTTTTTACTTTTAAGTTTTAAAAGTTTTCACTAAGTTGGTGAATAATAAATTCACCGTATCAATAAACCGTTGATTGTTTAAAAAAAAGTGCATATTTTTTTCCATTGTTTTATCTTTGTTAATAATGTGTGGCTGGAAAAAAAAATTATTCATCTATCCTTGAATATTCTTGCAGCTTGCTACTAAATATACTGTACTGTAATGTAAATAAGTAGTTATTGAAGATTCAAAGTGCCACAGAAACGTATCTATATATAAATATATTTTTTGCATATACTGTAAAATCATATTTGTAAAATTTAAACATTTTTTTTTTTTTTGTAAAGATGAATTTTTCGTTTTTGTTTTCACATGGATTGCTAAGGGTTTATGAAGCTCTTTTAATGTTACTGCAAAGGAAGGTAAATACTGGTCAACTTGTGGGTCTTTTTAGGTTGACGTAATGTTCTCTGTGAGCCAGAAGGTGCACACTTTTACACAGGACAATAAAAAGATTTGTTGTATTTTTACTTTGGATTGATTTAGTGATATTACGTATGGGAAGCTCATATTAAAATACACATATATATTGATGAGCAAGTTTTTAACACAAGTATGGCAAGCAAATGCCAGGTGGACCTGTACAGGTTAGGCTGTCTGGCTGTGGGGTATGGGTTGTGGCTTTCTCGAAACTCCAAATGTACTTTTTAATATTGCTGGTCAGGCCAAATGGCAATTACTATTCATTTTTAAACTAAGAGAGAGTGTTTCTTCAAAGATAAGTAGCATGAAAACTAATCTTTGTAGCATACTATGCCTATTGCCTGAATACACTGTGACTGAGGGGAGAGTGCTTTAAAGTCTTGGGTGGCTGTTTTAATCCACCAAAATTGAACCAACTCTACTGCCAGTGATGTCACCACGCTGGAACCAACATTTAACTCACTCTTGCTGTTAGTCTCATCTGAAAGGAGTGGACCAGGACTTTCCAGCCCCTGCTTCCAAGCAGAAAGCACCCTGAGTACACAGCATATTAGACCCAAACAGATAGTTTTGATTTGTCTGGTTGATAAAAGAACAGTGAAGTGATACCACATATTGGTTAACTCGACCAATTAAAAATCTAGGCTTTCAAAAGACCTCTCATTTCAACAGCACACAAAAAAACGTTCATTGTGAATGGCACTGCTGTGCACTATTAAAGTAGCTCCAATGCACCCACACTGCAGTGAACCATAGCGTACATGCAGTGTGCTCCTGTGTCACAAGGCTGGAAACGACAGGACACCTGCCCCATAAAAGTCTATAATGACTGTAATGCACAGGCATGGCCAGGATGTAAGCAAACATTGGAGGCCGTGGCTGTCATATCCAGGTAACTATGCATCGGTGGAGGGGGTGGATTACTTTAGGTCAGTGAAAACAGGAGAAGTGCACTTTCTCTTAAATTGCACTTCTCCTTTAAACTACCCAGCCAGGGAATTCAAAATGAATGGGCTGCTGAACACCGAATAATATGTTGTGTTAGCACATGTGAGTTACACAACTAACAGAATGGACATAATATGTTTTAACTAGTAAATGGTCAGAATCTTTCTGTGGTGTCTGTTAGGTGTGCCTAGAAAAATGACTCATTTGGGCAGTACATGTGTGTTCCAGCTGCATATATTTAGCAGTTTGCTTGTATGTACGGTTTAGACCAGGAAATCCCATTGGAAAAATGAATATGTAGCAGGGACACTTTTTTTTTTTCCCTCCAAAAAAGTAGGATTGCAGTTTTTACCATGCTGAATTGCATTTGAAATGGTTGTTTCATTTGTCAAAAAGCATAATCCTGAGAAAGATGAGTATATCTACGAAGCCTTGAAGTTGGCACCAAACTGGCAGGAAGCTGCTGCTTAGGAATTTTACATGTGAGCTTTTCACGCCATTGTTACATGTTTGCCATGTTGTCAGATGACCGCATCTCTGATACAATGCAGCCTGTGGTTATGCCCCCTAGATTTCCACACATTGATCATCAGCACGAGGGATGCACTGATAATGTTTTTTCAAGTACGGGTACCGGTAGGTGAAGAGAAAGCATAGAGCCGACTTCCTGATTGGCCGGGAAGCCGGCTCCATGCTCCCTCGTCAGAAAGCTGGGTGCAGCGTCATTACAAGGCGCCCGACTTCCTCATTGGC